CCCCCCCCCCCCCCGACCTGTCTCATAATCTATTGGTTCTTCATTCATGGTGTACTAACCCTCTGACCCCCCAGACACGAACTCCTCCCTAAACCTTGCAATTGTAACTATATCCCTCGACGCCTCGCAATCCATTACAGACGAAAAAGAAAAGTGATGAAGATTATAGAAGTTGATGAAAATTGTGAAAACAACTTCACAAGAAAATACCTAGAGGGAACGAGAGAAAATCGCCGGAGAACGGAGAGATGCCGGAAATTTTTTGAAAGTTTCAAACGCTTGAAAGGATTTGAATGATTTCGCAAAAGTAAAGTTTTAAAATGGCATGAGTTTTGGTTTTTATATTAAAATAGAATCAATCCCCGTTGGATCGAGGCCCATTGCATCTGAAGCGTCCATTCTTCTGATGCATCTGAGCCATGGAATTCAAACGGTTTACTTCACCAACACCTTAGATTAACTCATGATTATCACACACCTGCCTCGGTACGTTAGCCACTGTTGCAACACGTGTAACCATCATTGCACATTTAATGCGACGACCATACGTCTATTGGAAGTTGTACCGCTTCGGCTGTCTCATCTCGGAAATATGTTGAAATGTCAAATCATTGGCACTGTTATCAAGGTCAATCATTAGTAAACTAGCCTCGGTAGTTCAACACTTTTCTGCCTTAACTTCAATTAAATTCAGCTATCATCAGTAAACCAACATCGACAGTTCAACACTTTTCTACCTTTACTTTAATTAAATTCATCCTTAAAGTTAATCAGCCTCGACATTTCAGTATTCTCCGTTTCGAAATAGAACTTCCTTTATTATTAAAGTCTACGTATAACATGAATAATTATATATAGACTTGGGGGACTATTGTTATGACTCACCACAGGCACTACCACGTGGCCAACCCACTGTAGTTGTAGACCCACTCTTGCCGAAGCATCAGTCATAGAAGACGAGACCCTGGGGTAAAATTCTGAGGCCCGATACTCATTCCGAGGTGGGCATGTCGAAGCGGATCGATTCCGAGTCACTACCCTGGTTTGCGACGGCCCACATGCAGAGGTCTTGAATTTATTGTGGATGATTGATTTGACATTTGTAAAGGTATATGTGTGTCTTGTCTTGTCAATAAGGTGTAAG